CAGTTATAGCTACTTCCCACTGCACAAGTCTCCGTTTCACGTAACATTTAGTGGCTTATCACTTGCTCAGCATTAATCAACAGCGCACGTACACGTGTATTCAATGAATAAACAGATAAACTAAAAAATAAAAGCATCGCTGAACATTTTGGCTCCTGATACATTTGATATGGCATGTTTGAAAGAGCTATTTGTGTAGCTATGGCCTAAGGATATAAACATATAAGAGTAGGTACATCTGCGTTTCACAAGCATTCGAAGTCTCACCTCAATAAGATTACCTTAGGACCGCAAGAACCTACCTAGATGTATCAGAACCAATTAAAACTTTTGTTCTTCACAATCTTTCGAAGGAGCATCTTCAGGGAGTTCTCTTCCTTCGTTTTTTCACTTTTTCCTCCTATGCACTGGCCACGTTTAGTTAGTATGTTACTAGTCCGGATATAATTTTTAGGTGAAACTCCTGAGACAGATTCACCAGTTTAACGATTTCACGTAGTTTTTTCTAAAGCTATCTCAAGATATGCAGAATACATGTCTCCCACAATTGCCTCACTCACTTTGCCCGATGTAACGAAAAGTTCGCAGCTCTACAGAAATCTCTATACACATATACAAATGCTGTGATACGGGTCTGGCCTGAGTGCTAAACGAGTTAGTAACTCGACTGTTCTCAGCACGGCATTTTCGAGATTCACAACGAAATCACGTCGACCGGAAAACAGAAAAGCTGAGCGAGCGTAGTCTGAGCTACTTTGAGATTCGTGGTGAACACATTCAGGGCTAGGTTGAGACTTAATTCAAATTCAGAGGAAGGTTGAACAGAAGAGGATTGTAGCACTAGTTAGTTCTTCTACGGGACGAATTCTGCAAGGCAATTTTACTACCTCTTAGACCATCTTTCGAATGAGGAGGCTAACTTTGATGAACTTCAGGAATGTTTCAAACTAGTCTTAAGCAGAAATCCGATTATTCGAGTGAAAGTTAAAAGGAAACTGTCCTTGCAGGCATTAACCTAACTGTGGTAAGCTGGACATAGTCTTAACGATATGCAGAGTGAACTCTATCTATACTGGAAGAAGCTCTAGTAAAACCGCTACTAGTGCTGAAGGCATAGCCATAATGAACATTACCAGCAAACCAATGCTGATGTCCAGATGAACAAATCGACTAGCAGCTTCGATACCACCACTTAGAACAACTCAACGTGCACGTTGTCCAAAGCTGAATCATGGAAAATGCAATAGAAGCTTCTCGTGCCGATTCTAAACCGAAGACACAAGAGCTATGGTTATAAAGATCATCAATCTCATGCGTCATGCCATCTTGGCAACATTCGCTACTCCCCTAGGGTGAGGGACAAGCAGTGAGCATCCGCTCTCCCCGTCACTTCCGCGAATGTCCCTCTGGCTCTCGCCACCTGCATCCATCCTATTAGATTGCACGCTCAGAGCAGGCATGGTTCAGTGTAGAGTCGATGGGCATCTTCCCCTTCCTCTAAGACATGTGTTCGGGCGAGAGCGGAAAGCAGGTATGAGGAGAGGCAGTGATGTCGCGACTCGGGCGCCATGAGCCTGGGGCTTTGCCAGGCTGCACGGCAAAGCACGCGATGCCTACATCGCAAGTCGCATTGTGGGTTCGCCCCAAGCAAGGTTGCAGTCGGTCAGTCGGCGTGCTTCTCTCCTTCCGCAGGAAGGAAGAGATCCGCCGAGGACTTTGTGTCGCCATCATATCAGGTGGATTGTAAGGTACCTTCTGCACTCTGCACAGCACTGTCGCTCGACACACTGCTCCGTCTGGTGGAGGCTGGTTGAGGCCCGCGCACTTTCACAGGAGGCGCGGCCGTCTGCGGCTCGCAGCATGTAGCAGCAGAGTGCCGCTACTGCTAGGACTTCTTTGAACGACGAAGGAAGAGTAGCCAATCCAGCTATCAGGAGCTGAAGATAGGAGGAAATGTTACCTAAGGAAGTCCCCAGTTGTAACCTGTTCTGTTTGTTAGTTTGTTAGATTAGCACTACACCACTGAAATAAAAATTCTGTCAAGCATTGTGCGATGTCGCATAGTTTTACAGCAGCATGAGTCGAACGTCACAAATGTTTTCCAAATTTCACCGAAACACGACATCCA